GTTCTGTGTGGCCACTGCAGCGAATTATTGAACCCAGGAGAGAGGTGGTGGTACTTTGGGAGGAACGGTTGGTGAAAGGGCTGGAGGAAGGCAGCATGTCTGGCCTTGCAGTAATAGGCCTTGGGTTACTGCTGGTAATCCTGCCTTCCTCTTGTGGGATTAGAAGAGGTCAGAACATGTGGCCTCCTTGCCGTTTTTGCAGCCACCCAGGGGCATTATCTCTAGACCAAGGGTTCTCAGGCTTGGAGTGCTTAAAAACCACATGGAGGGCTTGTTAAAACAGATTCCTGGGTCCCATACCCAGAGGTTCTAGTTCTGATTCATTAGATTAGGGGTACAGCCTGGAATTTGCATCTCCAGCAAGTTCCCAGGTAATGGTGATGCTTACACTTCTGGTCCATGACCACGTTTTGAAGACCGCTGCTGAGTAGCACTGCTCCAGACACCTGCCCTCCTTCTATTTTCTCAAAGGAGCTAAGCTTTTCCCTCCACTAAAGCCTCTGTCTCTGCCTGGAGTTGCCCTCTCTAGGCTCAGCTAACCCCCTTGTCTTTCAGAGTTCAGCTCGGCTTCTTTGGGTGGGATCAAGCACAGCTGTCCAAGTGCCTGCACTGGCCCCAGGGGAATACAGGTTCATGGGATAACTTGTGTGTCTATCTTGTTCACTGTTGTATCTCCAGAGCCCCAAATAGTGCCTGGCACACAAAGGGTCCACAGAGGATATTTGTTCAATGAATGAATGAATGGATCCTCCTCCTAAGCCTGGGAGCCTTTTCCCTTCCATTTCAGGGGAAGCAGCTAGGAACTTGGGGACAGGCAGAGATGTGCTTCACTGTCACAAGCCAAAATGGGCCAATTTGGGAAAGGAATCTCTGGTGTAGAAGAGTGACACTCCTGCCCTGGGGTGGGCTCTTAAGCCCATTATATGTATGTGTGTGTATATGTATATAAATAAATAAACAAACAAATAAATAAATATGTATATATATGTGTGTGTGTGTGTGTATATATACATATAAAACAAACCAAACTTACTGTTGTCGAGTCATTTCCGACTCATAGCAACCCCTCCTTGGGTTTCCGAGGCAGTATCACTATGGAAGTAGATTGCCCAATTTTCCTTCCGTGGAGTGGCTGGTGGGTTTGAACCGCCAGCCTTCTGGTTAGCAGTCAAATGCCTTAGTCACAACGCCACTAGAGCTTTATGTATATATATATATATATATATATATATATATATATATAT